GGTTGAGAAGTCTGGAAACTGCCACAGCTGCCCATCATCCAGTCCTCTGAAGCCTGCTCCATGGTCACTGTGGCATGCGTGCCCACACCAAACTGCACTCCTCTCCCCCCATGGCATGATATACCTTTCCTATCAGCCATCCAGGTTGTCTTGGGCTGGAAATTTGTTTTACTCTGTTTTTTTTGTGGGTTCTGCTGCTTTAGAATTTGTTTAGAGTCACTTTTTGTAGGTATTTGGAGGGCTTTGGGGGAGAGCTCTAGCAAGTCACTGCTTTTCCTCTACCATCTTGGCTCCACCCCCAAGAGTCTACTTCCAATGTGGAGTATATACTGTCCCAAGCTTCAGGCACTTGTACAGTTGTTTTCAGAGATACTTCTAGGGACCTGTAAATTTTCAGTTCTTCCAAGGAGGTATTATAAGGGGCGAGTTGTTTGCTCTCTACCACCACAACAAGCTCCACCATGCCAGCGCTCCTCCTCACCCCAGGACCACCCCTCAGAATTGTGACTCAGATCTAAGCACAGGCAAAGCAAGAGGTTCCTGCCTCAGCACTGGCAAAGAGATCCCTGCAATCTCTCTCTGATCAGCCACTCAATTACACCTCAGTCTGTGGGAGGGAAGCTCAGGAGGCAGCTGCGGCCAGTGCTTGGGACTTGTTACTGAGACCTAGTTTCTAACTCTCACCGCAGTCACAGACTTTTCCCACTGACCTTCTAAGTTGTCTTTGGTGTTCATCAGTTGAGAAATCTGGAAACTGCCACAGCTGCTGGGAATTCAGTTCTCTGAGACCTGCTCCAGGCCTGCACAACCATGCCGAACTGCGCTCCTCTCCAGCCCGGTGTGATATCCCTTTCTGATCAACCATCCAGGTTATCTTGGGCTGGAAATCTGTTTCACTCTGTCTTTTTGTGGGTTCTGGTGCTTTAGAATTTGTTTAGAGTCGTTTTTTGCAGGTATTTGGAAGGGTTTGGGGGAGAGCTCAAGCAAGTCACTGCTTTCCCTCATACCATCTTGACTCTGCCCCTGAAATTAATGATTGTTTCTATGATTTGTTCTTTGATCCCCCCATTCTTTAAAATTAGATTATTTAGTTTCCAATTAATTTTTAATCTGTCTTTCCATGACCCTTTAAAATATATAATTTTTATTGCATCACATTCTGAAAAGGATGCATTTAATATTTCTACTTTTCTGCATTTCATTATAAGACTTTTATGCCCTGATACATGGTCAACTTTTGTATAGATGCTATGAACAGCTGAGAAAAAGAAAAAAAAACATATTCTTTTCTATCCCTATTCAGTTTTCTCCAGAAATCTATTAAGTCTAACTTTTCTAAAGTGCTATTCACCTCATTAACTTCTTTCTTGGTTACATATTTCTGGTTCGGAGAGGGAAAAGTTGAGGTTCTTCATTACTATAGTTTTATTATCCATTTAATTTTACAACTTACTTAACTTCTCATTTAAAAAAAATTAGATGTGATACAATTTGGTACAGACCTTTTAGTATTGACATTACTTCATTTTCTATGGTACCTTTTTTTTTGGCAGGATGTTGTTTCCTTCCTTGTCTCTTTAATTTGATCTATTTTTTGCTTTTGCTTTGTTTCAGATGATGATTGCTACTCCTATTTTTTTTAAATTCAGCTGAAGCAGAATATATTCTTCAGCATTTTATATTTACTTTGTGTGTGTGTGTGTGTATGCTTCAGATGTATTTCTTATAAATAACATTGTAGGATTTTGGTTTTTAATCCATTTTGTTATCTGCTTCTGTTTTATGCGAAAGTTCATCCTATTCCCTTTCACAATTATGATTACTAACTATATATTTCCTCCATCCTATTTTCCCCCTGCTTATACTTTTCTTTCCCTCTCCTTCCACCCTTTCCCTCCTCACCAGTGTTTTGCTTCTGCCCACCACTTTCCTCAATCTGACCCCCTTCTATCAGTACTGCCTTTTCTTGTTCCACTCCCCTCCTATAGGGTAAGATAGATTTTTATACCCAACAGAGTGTGTATGTTATTCCCTCTTTGAGCCAAATCAGATGAGAGTAAGGTTCAAACAATGTCCCCCCATTCCTATATTCCCTCCACTGTAATCAGTCTTTTGCACCTTTTCATGTGATATAATTTGCCCTATTCTGCCTCTCTCTTCCCTCTTCTCCTAGTGCAATTCTCTTTTTTACCCCATAAGTTTTTTTTAATACTGCCTTATCAAAATCAACTTCAACCCACACTCTCTGTCTATATATACTCCTGACTGCTTTATAGTGATACAGTTCTTAAGAGTTACAAGCATTGTCTTCCCATGTAGGGATGTAAGCTGTTTAACTTTATTGAATAACTTTTCTTTTCTTTCTTGTTTACCTTTTTGTGCTTTTCTTGAATCTTGTATTTGAAAATCAAATTTTCTGTTTTACTCTGGTCATTTCATCAGGAACATTTGAAAGTCCCCTCTTTCACTGAATGTCCACTTTTTTTCTTTTGAAAGATTATGCTCTGTTTTGCTGGGTAGTTGATTCTTTGTTGTAATACGAGGTCCTTTGCATTCCAGAATATTATATTCCAAGCCCTCTGATCATTTAAAGTAGAAGTCACTAAATGCTGTGTAATCCTGATTGTAACTCTTTCATTATAGAATTGTTTCTTCACATCAGTGTTTTGACATTTTTGTCCTCTTCTGAGTTTGCTTTTTGATCTTCCCTGTCATCATTGTAGCTTTCTATGGTCAGACATTTTTCTGCTCCTTTCCAGCCTATTATGTAGTATTTAAAGTTGAGCTCTACGCCTGGGTCACAGAGGGCACTGTCCCAAGCTTCTTGTGCTGGAGAGCTGGGACCTGGTTGTTGGCTTGCTGTAGGGCTTGCCTATCGTATGGGGGCTCCTGGGCTGTCTTGTCTTCTGCTGTGCTGGAATGACTTGCCCTATTAATATCTGTTGCACCTGACTTCAGGGGCTGGAAACTCACCTGTGGCATCCTGTCTACAGGCCTCACAGCTTGTCTGCTGTGCTACTGAACTACTGAACTGGGTTGTTGATCTGTGCTGGGTCTAGGCTTGCCCTTACACTGCCTGCACTGTACTGTTCTCCCATTTTACCCAAGTGAGGTAGGGCTGTCCTGCAGTGCTTCTAAATTATTTTGGCCTGGAAAGTTGTTTAAATCTTTCTTTTGTGGATTCTGTCAATTGATAATTTATTTTGTTGCTTGATGTAAAGGTATTTCTAGGGATACTTGAGAAAGCTTAGGTAACTTCCTGCTTTTTCTCCACCATCTTGGTTCCCCTTGTGAGAGTTTCTATTTCTGTTGTGTTGTGTGGCTTACTGTGAATATTTTCCTCACTAAACCCATGCAGGCAGGTAGGATCTTTGTTTTACATGTGAGAAAACTGAAGCTCAGAGACCATGGGCTAATTGCCGAGAGTCACAGAACTGGCTCATGAATCCTGGCCCCTGACCAAAATCTATTGATCTTTACTACATCATGCCACTGCTCAGTCCTGTGTGCATCCACCCCCCACCCCCTTTCCAACTCCCCCTCCAGTGCCACACATAAAAAGGAATGGACATGGAGGTCAGCTTTTTGGAAGATGATTATGAAACTAAGAATTTTTTTTATCATCTACCCAGGATACGTGCTGGGTAGAGGTTCCTAGTGTACTAGAATCATAGAAGCTTGTATTGAATTTGCATCTGTATTTGTTTGTATTGAATTCTTTCTCCTTTTCCTTGTCTTTCTATTTTTCTTCTCCTTTTCTCTCTCCTCCTCCTTCACTGTCTCTCACTCTCTTTCTCATCCTTTATCCTTCCCCTCTGCTTCCACCTCCTTTATCTTGTCTTTCTCTTCCTTCTCCTTATTATCATTCTCATTACTTTTATTTTCCTTCTACTAAAGAACTATTCACATGCATGTTAGTAGCTGCTGATATTTCTTCTTCTGACAGGAATAAAACTGGTTGTAAAATGGAGAATAATAATAGCTAGTATTTTAATATAGCACCTACCATGTGCCAAACACTGTGAGAAGGGTTTTATAAATAGATTTTCATTTGATCCACACAACCACCCTGTGAGACAGAAGGTATTATTATGCCCAGGTAAACTTGACTAATGAGTTCATGATATGGAATTCAAATAGAGGTCCAGCATTCTTGAGCTATACAGGACATAATCTCAAAATCATGAAGTTGGAAAGGAACTTCAATGGTGTCAAACTCAAAATAAAATGGGGCCACTAAACCATGTGTCAGGATCTCTGAGGGCTACATATTGACTTACATTATCTATATTCTAATGCATTTTTATTTATTTTTTAAAATGTGTCTAAATTATATTTTAGTGTGATTCTACAGTACTCAGGAGTCATATGGGCACAATGCTGTCCACATGTTTGACTGCTACACAAATTTCTAAAGGTGGTTATATTTTGATTGTGTATATAAGATTGATAATTTAACTTATTTTTATAGTGTTATGAGATTTACAAAGAATGTATATGCAATAGTTCTGCATAAGATAAGGGGTAGATAGAATGTCTTAATTTCACAGATGATAAAAATGAGGTGCAGAGAAATGAATTCATAGGGATGAAATATCAAGGCCAAGACTTAATCCCAATCAAAGTAGTTTTTAATGAAAAGGACATTGGACTTGGAGACAGAAAGAGCTGCCTTCAAATACAACCTCAGACTCCTAATAGCTGTGTGACTGGAGAAAATAAATGAACCCCTCTATGCCTCAGTTTCCTTCTTGTAAAATCAAAGGGTGGAACTCAATGAGTCCTATGGCACTTTCCACTTGTAAATAAAAATAATTAGCTCTCCACTAGCAAACTCCATTACATATAGATTTTACCACCAGCGTTCTCATTGAGGAAAGATATTTGCATTATGAGGCAGATATAAAGTTTGGAATATTTTAACACACTTATTTCCCCAACTCTGCGCTTTTTTAAAATTTTAAACATACAATGATAATTTTTGGTGTTGTTTCAATTACCTTGGACAGCTCCTTCAGGTAAGCATCAATGAAGTCCAGGGTCTCCTCTGGGTTCAGGTCTTCCTTGTGTTGTTTGATCACACCTTTTACAAAAGACTGTAGCTTCTTCCATTCTCTAAAGAACTTCTGGTGAGATCCTGGCAGGAATTTCATTATCCAAGGAAACATATTGAAGAGCTAAATAATGTAAAAGGGGGTAGAGGGAGGAGAGATGAGTATCAGCTCCTGTTAGGCTACCCTGTCTCTCCATCTCCCTCACTCTAAGTCAGGCCAGGGTTAGTGACCATTTTTTTGTGTGTCATGGAATTTACCATAATTCCGTATCTAACCACTACTGAAGTCTGTCCTTCCTGTAACCACTGTTTATCTTCCTATACTGTTGCTCTCCTAACACCCAGGCTGGCATCTAACCATCTTTGTCTCATACATCGGCCCCTTGGCCATGTCTTGATGCACCTAGTAACTCTTTAAAGATGTCACCAATATAGGCAACCTCACAACCTTCAAAGAAGAAGGGGAGAAATTCTTCCTGGAACAATTGATAGCACTTGTGTCTGTATTTCCCTGTTAGTCCCACAGATTTTCTTTCCCTTGAATTTCCATTTTGTTCCTCTTGACACAATGAGACCCAATGTTATTCATGCTTTCCCTTCATTTTCTTCCATAGCCAGACTCCTGAGGAGTTAAGTGAAATCATGAGCCAGTGGCTCATGATGCCAGATGGAGTGCTAGAGTAAGTCTCAGGAAGACCTCAGTTAGAATTCTGTCTCATACACTTATTAACTGTGGGACAAGTCATTAATTTCTCTCAGCCTCACTTTTCTTATCTGTAAAATGGGGATAATAATAGCAACTATCTCAAAGGGTCATTGTGAGGATCTAAATAAATCAGTCAATCAACAAGCATTTAATAAGTACTTAGTATGTGCCAGACACTGTGCTAAGTGTTGGGCATACAAAGAAAGGGGGAAATGCAAGTCTCTGTCCTCAAGTAGCTCACATTGTAATGGGAGAGATACCCATAAATGCAAGATATATACGGAGTGGTTGAAAGGCAATCTCAGAGGGGAGGGTGCTGACAGATGGAGGGACTGAGAAAGACATCCTGCAGTAGGAGGTGAAATTTGAACCAATACTTGAAGGAAGCCAAGAGGTGGAGGTGAGAAGTGAGAGCATTCCAGGCATGAGGAACAGCCAGTGCAAAGGTGCTAGGTGGGAGCTAATATATGTTTACAAATCATAAATTTAAGCCCTTAAATTATTCGTGTCACTCTGATTGTGTCTATTTTATCTTTATCTCTCATTCTGTTTCTCTAGCTGTCTGTTTCTTTTCTCTACCTCTGAACCTCCCTTCCTCCCTCCCTTACTTTCTTGCTGTCTCTCTCTCTCTCTCTCTCTCTCTCTCTCTCTCTCTCTCTCTCTCTCTTTCTGTCTCCTATCTCCCCTGCAGAGGTGAGGATAACATTCCTGGTTTCTCCCAAACTCTGCTCAGGAGACATTTTCTCCATGAAGACTTTCCTGGTCCTCCTGGCTTCCAATGCAGCCAATACCAAAACTTTTCCCACTGTATTTATTAATTTGCATATACGCTTACTTGAGGGCATGTTGTCTCCTCCAGAAGAATACAAACCATGTAAGGTCAGGGACCCTCATTTTTGTCATTGTATCTTCATCCCCAAGCACAGTACTTGGCACACAGTAGGTGCTTAATAAATGCTTGTTAATTGTTAACCTTGGTAAAGATCTTAGAAAAACTTAAAAACTGTATATAAATGTGTTTCCTGTTATTTGAAGATCACAGTGTTCTGGAAAAGCTTGGGTCCCCCAGGCATGTTCTTCCATGTCATTGTCTATAAAAATCTTGTTTCATTCCTTTCCTCTTTTCAGTCCCTTTTACTGCCTAGAGGAACTCACACACAAGCTGACTCAGCTCCTGCCCACGTCTTACAGCCATGCTTCTTTTCATGTTTCTTTTCCCATGGAGGAAGTACAGGCCAAATTGAGACTGAGCCCACCCTGTCCAGCAAGGGGTGGTCTGTTACCTGACACTCCCATCTGATTTCAAGCACTATAACATCATCCAAACTCTTTAGCAGCTCCTGAAACTGAGAATCATGGTACTCAAAGCGATGCCCAAAAGTTATAGAGCAGATGATATTGGAAACAGCATTGTTGATCTGAAAGTGGGGGTCAAAGGGCTGTCCTGTTGAATGGAAGAGAAAGGGGACAGATAACTCTTCATTTCACTCATGTTCTTTAAAGGAACCCAGCAGAGCTTTCTACCTTTTTCTCTTAAACAATATTTCCTCACCTCCCCTCTCTTCCCCTTCCTGCTTTCTTATTATTGTCCATAACCAGCTACTGCTTAAATAGATGTGAGAAAAAAGAAAAGAATACACCCACTTTTTTAATGTTTAACCAAGACTTGGGATTTAATTGGCAGATTTTCCTTCAACATTGGTTACCTGTGGCTTTTGGCAAGTTACTTTATCTGTCTTTGCCTCCTTTGTATTTATCAATAAAATAAGGGGGTTGGATTAGATGACCTCTGAAGGCCCTTTTAGCCTCTATCTTTGATTCTGTATCTGATATATCATGTGCATAGGATGAGAAAGGTGTTCCCATCTGTGTAATGATCATGGGCATATATGTGCATATGTGTCCATAGATGATATATGTTTGCATATACCGTATACCAATACCCATAACTATGTATACTTGTGGGCTACTTGGATGCATATGAGTAGTAGAGCTGAAATTACAACTGGAGATTCTGGAATGAAAGGAAAAGATATGAAAAGGTGAATAATGAAGGTAGCCAGTATAAGGAAGTGTGTAAAGTACTAGACCTGGAGCCAGGAAGATCCCAACTACCTCTGACATTTACTAACTGGGTGACCTTAGTTCTAGTGTCTTTCCACTATTGATTATTTCCAGTTTCTCCTGTTTTTTAGAGTGTTTGCACATAGTTGTTTGCATGTTGTCTCCTCTCTTAGACTAGGAGCTCTTTGAGGACAGAGACTCTCTTTTTTCCTTTCTATATCCCCAAGATTTAGTCTAGTGCCTGGAATATAGTAGGTACTTGCTAAATATTTGTTGACTGAGTGAGTGACTTTGGACAAGTCATTTAACTGCCCCACTCCTCAATTTTCTCATTTGCATAGTGGGAGGGAGGTTTGGATTGATGGGATCCAAGATTCATCCTTATCCTAATCCTATGATAATAAGAGGAAACAGCAGAAGAGGAAGAGAAAGAAAGTGGAGAAGGATGGGAAAAGGAAAAAGAAGCAGCATAGAAATAGGAGAAAGAGTTGAAGAATGAATGTCTACAATAACAAAATTGTGAATAGAAAGATAATTTAGATGAGCTTAAGGACCTGGATCGATGCAATACCAACCACAATTCCAGAGGACCAGCAATGGCACCTGCTACCCACTTCCTGACAGACAGATTGTGGACTTAGGTTACACAATGACATATATGTCATTGGGCATGGGCAACGTAAGAATTTTTTTTTTGCCTGACTATATTTGTTACTAGGGTTTTGTTTTTCCCAGTGTGAGGAATAAAATGAAGGAAAGAAAATAAATGATTAGTTGAAAAAAAATCAAGATTTTAAAAAATGGAGATGACAATATGTAGACATGTGTGTGTATATGTGAGTGTGTGTGTGTGTGTGTGTGTGTGTGTGTGTGTGTGTTCTAATGAGTAGAAAGAGGAGAGCAAGATGGAAGAGACAAGAAGAAAGATAAGAATGAGCGGGAAGGCACCAAAAAGAAATAGATGATTCAGTGAGCAGAAAGGAAGAAGGATAATTAGGAAGAAAAAAGAGTTAGAGAAGAGCAGCATGAAAGAATAGAGGCTGGGGTATGTGTACTTTCATGTGTGTAGGGATTTCCTAGACTGGTCAGCCAAGGCAGGACTGCATGTGTGGCATTTTAAGAATTGAGGCATGTAGGGTCTATGTGTTGATGACAGAAAATAATTATGATGGCATTCAAGAGAATGGGCCATCAAGGGATTCCTTTCTTTGCTTATTGCCTCATTTCTTTCTAGAGGACAATGTTGGGTCTTCAAAGACCTTCCCAGGGGCTGGAAGGTGGAACATTTTGTGTGTCTTCTAGTCTAGGGATGACCTCCTTTCCCTATTCCTCCCATCCACAGTTACAGATCTTTAATTATCACTTGGACAAAAGGACAATTAGAAGCAATTGAAAATACCTCTGCCTGACCAGTACTTACCTTTTTGTTCCCTGATAGCTTCAATGAGATATTTGGACTCTTCCCAGATGCGATCTTCCAGGCTCTTCTTTCCCAAACCAAAGTTCCTCAACGTCATTAAGGCAAATCTTCTTTGCTGTCTCCACTCTTGGCCAGTAGACATTATTAAGCCTAAATGATAATAACAATTTATATCAATATTTCAAAAGATCTATAATTTTGCTGGTGTAGTTATTCCCTCTACCAGCAATTGAATTCAATTGAACAAGCATTTAAAAAACAAAAAAACAAACCAAAAAAAAACACCTATTATGTGCCAAACACTGTGCTGGATATACAGATAGTAAGGGCTGGACATTTCCTGCCTCAAAGAATTTATACACAGATTAGGGAAATAACAAGTTTGATTGTAGGGTATATGGAAATACCTGGAAGTCCTAAAGACAAAGCAGAGGGAGATGTGAAAGCTCAGGGGTCTGAAGGGTCTATCAGTAGGCCATGTACCTTAGGGTACATAAGTATGAGCTTCTGATTTCCTCAGTCAGAGGTGACTACTGGATGAATTTCTGCTTTGGAGAAGACAGCTATGGATGGGGGAGGGGCCCAAGGCCTAATCTAGATGACCAGATCCACTTTGAGCAGCTTAAGTCATTTTACTAGTCCCTTATTGATTTCTTCCACGTCACAGTCTAGGCAGGGTAGTGATGCCTTGACTCATGGGTGCTGGATGTCCCACAAGCAGGTTTATGGTCTCCTGCTTTGCTCGATGTCATCTGGAACTGACAAGGCCCCTTCACCTTGGTGACAGTGAAGTATTAAAGAGTCAACTCCATTTCTCTGTACCCAGGAATGGATAGGGGTAAAAGAGGGACCTTGGGATATTCCTTTTCCAATAAGTATCTTTGCTATGAAGAACTTGGAAACTGAGACCTAGAGAGGGTAAGGGAATTACTCAACCTCACCCAGGTGGAACATGACCGAGCTGATATTCAAAATGAGACCCTGAGGCTCCCCAAGCTGCGGCCTTTCCATTACTTCTTGCTCTCTCATAAGAGTATGCTTTCTGCTATAAGACTGGCCTCTTACACACATCGCATGAAGGCCCTACTTTCAGGCCTGGAAGGCCTTTTGGAGTGCAGTAAGTCACCACACGTTTTTAGGCAGCCCAGGCCTGGGGGACTGAACTGAGACATCTTCACCTTCTTGTCTCAAAGTCAGAATGTCTCCTTGTTGACCTGATTTGTGAATGGTTTATCTTCCCATGTCACCAAAGTTCTATTTCACCAGTGTGTTAAAAAAGATCAAATAACAGAGAGAGTTTATAAGAGTGAAAATGTGTCAACAAAAAAAGAAATGGTGGTGCTCTTGACAAAACAAAAAATGGAAAGAAGCAGAGAGATGTGTTTGGGCCAAGAGAATCATGGAAACTCACACTGGTGGCAAATGTCATATTATACAATCTGATAGGTTCATCCCAATAACAAGCAGTAAGGCATAAATTATTGTTAAGATAAGAAGAGTGAAGAGGAACTAGTAGAAAGTTAACAGTATTGTATTGATGGTGTCATGTGGAAGAGAGATTAGCTTTTTTCTGCTCAGCCCCCCAGGGCAAAACCAGGAGCAATCTGTGAAAGATGTAAGGGAGACAACTGAAGCTGGAAGAAAGGAGAAACTTCTGACCAGTTAGAATTGCCCTAGAGTGTCATGGGCTTCTTTGAAAGGTGGTGGGCTCCCCATCCTCGGAGGTCTTCAAGCAGAGTCTGGATGACCATTTGTTAGGAATGTTGAAATGGGATTCCAATTCAGGTTCAGGTAGTCTTGGGCAACTACAAAGATCCTTTATGCCCCTGAGATTCCATACTTCTCTCAAATGTCAAAGTATGCATCCTGAGCTCTTTCACTCATTCATTCAAGAAGCATTTATTTGACATTGAAGATGCACAAAGCTCTGTATTAAGTGATGATAGAGATACAGGCAGTATTAGACTGGTTGAGCTCTAATGGAAATTACATTTCCTTCTTGTTGGGAAGGCAAGCCAGAAATTCCTCCATAAATGCATAAATATCAGTCCATAAACCTTTATTATTATGTCTTAGGGACTGTACTAAGAAATAGCATGAATCAGTATTATAAATTAATACGTAAGTTCTAGGCTGGCACAAAATTCCTTGATATCAGACACAGGAGAATTTATTATTGACAAGTGATAGCTTCATGGAGTAGTTAAGTATGTGAATTGGTTCTTGCAAGATTTCAAGAGTCTAACAGGTGGGGAAGGAGAATACTACAAATGAAAGGCATAGCATGGAGTAAAAGTGTAGTTCATAAGCTAGACCTTTGTCTTAGAGTTAAGAAAGCCACGATTTAAATTGTGACTGATATTTTAGAACTTTAGCCTTCAATGACCTCATCTGTAAAATGAATGTTGGGGTTGGACTGTGTGTACTCCAAGTTTCCTTCCAGCTCTAAATCTGTGATTCTGTGACTGACCTGGGTGTGGGATTCAGAAAGGGACATTTGGGAAACAATGCCTTGGTTAGTTTGGCTAAAGCGGGGAGGGACACAAACATGATATGTCACAGATAAAGATGGAAAGGTTAACTGAGTGACCATCAATGTTGTGGTAAAGAATTATAGATCCCTCTGAATGCCCAAACTAGAAGGATTCAGTCTGATAGGACCTAACTCCAATTAGTCCCTTACTATGCTGGCCAATCCTTCTACTCTGCCCTTAATGACTCCCTATCAAAGTCTTTACAGTGACTTTTCCAAGTCTTCATATTCTCTCCTCCACTATCAAGCCAAATTTAGGGCACATGTCTAAGTGTCTAAGACTCCTACTTCTAGAGGAAGATGTTCTCTCATGGGTTTCAGTTCCCTGCTTTCATTCCATTAAGTCAATAGCAGAATCAATTCCACCCCCCCCCCCCAGTAATAGAAGAATATGTATCACTAATACATGCTAACTTCTTCATCTTTATTCCCATCTACTCCCACCACCTCTCCCTAGTCACCTCCCATCACCTCTCCCCTCTAAGACTTTAACCTACAAAAAAAATTAGGGAAATACAAGAAAAATTCTGAAAATAAATTTAACCAATTAGAGAAAAAAGAGATACAAAATCTAAAGGAAGAAACTAACTCCTTAAAAACTAGAATTTGGCAAGTGGAATCTAAAGACATCATAAGACAGCAAGAAAAAATAAAACTAGAAAAAATAGAAGAGAACCTGAAACATTTCATTAGAAAAACACCTAATCTGCAGAATAGATTGAGGAGAGACAATGAAAGATTGTCCATCTACCTGAAAGCAGTGATAAAAAAAATAATCTGGATACAATATCACAAGAAATTAATAAGGAAAATTGCTCTGAAGTTCTAGAAAAAGAAGGTAAAGTAGAAATTGAAAGAATCCACTGAACACCACATGAAAGAGAAGCAAAGAAGAAATCTTATGGGAATGCCATAGCCAAGTTTCAAAATTCCCAGGTTAAAGAGGAAATATTGCAAGGAACAAGAAAGAAAAAAATACTATAGAATAACAATCAGTATTTTACAAGACCTAGCAAAAACTACACTAAAAGACCATAAGGCTTGGAACATTAGATTTCAAAGAGCAAAGGAGTTGGGGTTGCATCCAAGAATAGCTAATGCAGCAAAGGTGAGTGTAATCCTTAATGAAAAAAAAAAGACATTTGATGAACTGAAAGATTTTCAGGTATTTGTAACAAAAAGATCAAAACTCACTGGAAAATTAGACGCAAAAGATTCGGAAAAAATATACAAGAAAACCATTAAAGACTAATTATACAGATCTGATTAAGCTGAGATTAATAAAATTGAAAGTGAAAAAAAACCACTGAATGATGAAGGATAAGTCAAAGATATCTTTCACAGAATCTTAGAGATGAAAAAAATATTTATCATAATTCAAAGCACTCACCAAATGTTTTAAAGACATGGAAGTGGAGAGGAAGTTGGGGGCGATCAATAAACACCTGGTCTTGGTTGACCAGGACCTCCTTGATCAGTGGCAATCCAGTTACCATCATTAAGGCAGTATTTCCCACATCCATGCAGAAAATATTTCCATATTTCTTGACAAACTGAAAAAAAATTAGTTTCGATTGCAAACTTTCATTGCTTTTCTGGCTATTTTTTTTTTGTCTGCACAGTTATCAGATGACATTCTAGCAATGTGAAACATTAATTACAATGGAGTCCACTTAATTCAGTCTGATCTAATCCCACTGAATTTAGTTCAATTCACCCCAATAAATACTGAATGATCCAACTATATCCTAAGTGCAGTGCTTGAAGATGAGCTGACAGTCACAAACACCAAATAATTCCTTCCCTTGAGGTATTGACATTGGGAGGAAATGATCTGTGCATATATAAGTAAATACAGAATACCTATAAAGGAAATTCTATGTGCTTTCAGGGGAGACCAGCACCTGGGAGGGATCAGGAAGGTTTCCTGAAGGAGATGGTCCCCTGAAGCTGAGCTTTGATGGAAACTGGGAATTCCAAAAGATTCAGCAGAAGAGTGAGTATATTCCAGGCTCTGAAGTGGCTGCTACATTCAGGGCACCATGCTAGGAATATATGACAAAGAACAACTGAGAGTTTAATATGTGGGAAAGACTTAGAGGTCAACACTTGAACCATTAGTAAGTTCATTGGAGTGGGTAGCATGTAAGCTCCCAGAGGACAGGGACAGTTTTATTTTTGTTTTCTTAGTCTCCAGCACCTAGTATAATACCTGGCACATAGCAGGTAATTATGAAATGATTGTTAATGGCTTGATTGATTGGGCCTCTCCCTCACCACCACTTATCAAAGCCTTTCAAAACTCAGTAGACTCTTTGAGAGAGATTAGAGGAAAAAATCAATCAATGCTGCTGTCATCATGGTCATGAGCCTCTCTGAACTTAGCAAAGCTTGTCCTGAGGTCAGAGACACCCTGAGAGTCTGTCACCACACTCTTGTCTGAAGCCATTACAGCTTGATGGGGCCCAAGAATGCTGGTCTTCTGCTTCAAGGACCTCAGAAAGTGAAGGACCTCAAGTGGATAGCATATGACGACTATTTTCAGGAGCCAGTGATATTTAGACTTCAAAAAGAAAAAAAAAATGAGATAATGGGTGGGATGTGATAAGGGCTTATGACTTGAAGTCTAGGAATATCTGGATTTAGATCCTACCTTTAACCCCTGCCTGTAACCAGTCACGGAATGTTTTCTAAGATTTAGTTTCTATATATGTAGTAGTGATCTCAAAGGGGTGTGTTGAGGATCAAATGGCATGAATGCAAAGTTCTCTATAAATGTACAAGATTATATCTGTCTCACCTGGGAGGCAGCATGGGCTAGTGCATAGAGAACCAGGGTTCATGTTCCACCCCTGACCCATGCCAGCTGCATGGCTCTTGCCTAACACTTAACCTTTGAACCCAGGAAGGAGTTCTCCAGTGGGTTACTACTGTTTCTGTGCTTGGCCCTGGGCTAACATTTAATCAGTGACTCAAATAAGGGCACACGTAGGATACTCATCTGATTTTCAGACAACACTAAGTCTGGAAGGGTGACGGGGTGATGCGGTCAACCAAAAACATTTCAATGGGCTGTGGTGGGGCTGAATGCAATAAGGTAAAATTCAAAAGGGATAAATGTAAAGCCTCACACTGAGAAACAAAAACCAATTTCACAAGTATACTTGCTCTGAAAAAGATCTGGTTCTTGGCAACTTGGTTTTCTTTAAATTTCAATAAATGCATTTCATTGAAAACAATTTCCTTTATAATCCTATTTTACGCAATTAAAACCATGATTCTGAAGGAATGCCCATTGGTTTCCTCCAGAATGACTACCAGAAGGGTCCAGGACACAAAAAAGGTGAAACATTTCTTATATAGAGGTTGAATAAACTGTACCTAATATGAGTTAGCAGTGTGATATGGCAGGCAAAAAAATAGTCATTGTTAGTGTTTGGTGAACTTAGTTGAAAGGAACATTATTGGGATGTTGGCAGTATAATAATAATACCCAGAATTGACAGATAAGGCAAGTGAACATGAGAGACCTGATGTGGCTTGTTCAAAGTCTTAAGATCAGAGTCATGGACCAAGGGTACTTAACCTTGTGTGATTTTGTGTGTGTGTGTGTGTATGTAGTTTTGGGGGGGTTGTTGTCCCTTTGGGTAGCTTCTCAGAAAAAAGTTTTTAAATGTGTAAAATAAAATACATAGGATTATAAGCAAACCAAGTATATTAAAATGGAGTGATCAAAAAATGTTTTTAACTCAAATTCAATGGCCCCAGTGAAGTGCCTCTGATTCGAGAGTTCGAAGGGACCTCAGAGGCTGCCTATGCGATTTCTGCCAGTCAGTCTATTGATGAACATTTATTAAGAGCTTATTCTGTGCCAGGTACTGTGCTGAGCACAAAAAAGCAAAAGACAGTTTCTCAAGGAGCTCACCTATCACTTTATAGATAACAATAACAAAAATAATAGCTAACATTTATATTCTGCTTAATGTGTATCAATCACTTTGTGAAGCACTTTACAATTATTATCACATTGGATCAGAATCACAGAAACTGAGTCAGAAGGGACCTTAGTGGCCATCTAATCCTGACCACATACAAAAGTTAACTCCACAATGACACTCCCTACAAGTGATGAGCTTATGGCTTTCTCCAGGTCCCACAAGTCGGAAGGGGGATGTGAACCCAGGCCCTCTAAGCCCCAAACCAGACTTTCTTTCCATTGCAAGAGGCTGCTTCCCAGGTAGGCCCAGAGCATGGATAGACACCAAGGCTTGTGGCTGCCCAATCCAGCACATTCCCCAACACCCCAGTTCCTATGCCCTCTCACAGGCAGTAGATTCTTGCTCTCCCATCTCACTCCTTACCTTTTGGATGGTGATTTGGGGGTTTTTAAAGTCCATCTGGAAGAAGTTGCCCAATATGGGCAGCCCAGGAGGGCCAGGGGGATAGTTGTGATGCCTCCTCCTCCTCCTCTGCAGATACTGTGCCAGGATGAGGAAGGTGGCAGAGAAGAGAAGGAGGATCTGCAGGGAGGCTCTTTCCCAAAGGGAAGGGAGCACAGTTCCCAGAGAGAGCTGCATTTTTCCGCAGCTCCGACACCAAGGCCAGACAAGCCAAGCTCCTCCTCCCTCCTCCTCTTCCTGCAGCAACAGCAGCAGCTCTGGGGCCACCAGGAGCAGTGTTTGTATGAGAGACAGAGCTCAAGCTTTATTTGTCATCTTAGAGCTGCTGCCTGGATTGGCTTTATAGGCCAGGCAGTGAGAGCTCCAGGAAGTGCCAGTCTCCTCTCTGTGCCCCTGCCCTCTGCCCTCTGCCAGGGCCTGCCTCTAGGGAGTAAACATGCCCCACCCCTGCAATCTTCTGCCCTGAAAAGAAGACAGGGCTTGTCTGCTGGGAACCAGAGAGACAACTTGGCCAGAGTAGCCTGGGAAGGCTCCACACGCAGGCAGATCCACCCAGTGCACCAAAATCAAAGGCCTGGACCTTTGAGGCAAGAAGGGACCCAGAATGGCATCCCCTTTTTTTAGGTAAACAGCACAGTGACAACCAGAGCAGCCAGGAAATTGACAAGGTCCCACAGCTCTTTGTAAGTTTCAGAGCCTTCATTGGAACCAGACTCAACTGGCTTCAAGTCAGTCCTCTTTTCCCTATTACAAATTGCCTCCAGACAAACTTCAGAACTAAGGTAGAGGGTCTCTAAAGCTGGAATCCAGGAATCTCTGAGAGGTATGTGGATAGACTTTCAGTGGGTCTGTGAACTTGAATGGGAGAAAAGAATTTCATCTTTACTGGAATTATCAGAATAAAATTCCAATAGATTTTTGATAAATTGGGATATTTAGAATACAATTCTGACAGAATTAGAATAAACTAGAATAAAATTCTAATAGAATTGGAATAAATGGAATAAAATATCAATATAATAGAAATAAATGGAATAAAATTCTAACACACGTGGAATCAATTGGAATAATCTGAATAAATTCCCAATACAATTGCAATAGTAGGAGATAAAAGTCTAATATAATTGGACTAAATTGAAATTCCAGTATAATTGAAATAAAGTTCCAGTGTAATTAGGGAAAAAATGGGATAACTGAAACAAAATTCCAAAATAATTAGAATAAATAGGAATAATTGGAATGACTGAATACAATTCGAATATATTTCAATATAATTGGAACTTCATTTGTAATCCTATATATGTTATTTTATGCATTTACAATATCATTCTGAAAAAGGATCCATAGGCTTCAGCATAATACCCAATTGGTTCAGGACATAAAGAAGATGAAAACCACCATCTCTGATTGGCAGGTACTCCTCAGTGTTTGGAACTACTTTTCAAACCTTCCTCAGTCCATGTGGTTGGGAGCAGGAGCCAGGGGTGAATGGAAATTCTTGTGTTTTCCCTTCCAATGGTCTTCATGGAACAGTGGGTAAAAAAACTGATTTGGAGTCATAGGGTGTGGGCTTGAATTTCAGCTCTTCTGATTTTGCTTCCCTGGGCCTCTATTTTCTCATCTGTAAAAAAGGAGGTTGGATTCTCAGAAGTGCCGAACACAAGACACCTGCCTGAAGCATCATGGCTCTTCACTTCTGAGTAGCGCCAGGGGAAAACTAAAAGGTAATTTCGAAATGTTTAACAAAATAAAGATACCACACAACATTTACAACACCAGTATGTGACTTTCTAAACCTGCGGGTTGACGTGCCTGCACCAGATGGTCTCAGCAGTCCCTTCCCACTCAAAAGCTGTGCTGTCTCACTATGGAATGAGAGGCTGTGTCCCCTGTCCTCAGGCATTGTGTAAACAGAAGGTTAAGGGAGATACCTTTTGGGCAAAAGGCCAGTCAATGACCCACAGTTTATTTATCAACCATAGAATGTTTTATCTGGAAGAAGTCTTAGAGGTGGTTGGATAATAGCGTCACACATCTGGAGCTCTAGCGATCTCAGAGGTCATCTAGTCCAATGTTCTCATTTTACAGATGAGGAAACTGAGGCACAGAGAAGATGTGATTTGACAGAGGGGACCATCATCAATCACCATTATCCTGATACTCTATAGGGATTTAAGGTTTACAAGGAACTTTGCATGTGTTATCTCATTTGCTCTTTACATCAAACCTGTAAAATAAATGTGATTATTATGCCCATTTTACAGATGGAGAAACTGAGGGTGAGACAAGTCCAGAGACTTGTCAAGGGGTTGTATAGCCAGTACGTGTCTGAGGCACGATTTGAATTCAGGTCCTCTGAGCCCAAGTGCAGGGCTTGCAGCTGCCAAGGTTAGGTAGGTAGTCATTTGCAGGGGTGAGTTTCAATCCCAGGTCCTCTGACTGCACATTTTCCCACTATATCATCCTGCCTCCCATCAGCGATAAATGCATTGGAAATAGTGAACAAGATAAAAAATCTCTAAATGGTCCTCAGCTCAGCTGTATCTCTTCTGTGATTCCATCCTGCAACTCAGAAGGCTTTATCTGCATTCACATACATACATATATACATATATACATATATACATATATACATAGACACACACACACATACACCTATTTCTCTCTGATATGTGTGTGTGTGTGTGTGTGTGTGTGTGTGTAAAACCACTTCACCACTCCACCTCCAAATAAAAATAGTCCTTGAGATTATGATATAGAAGGAATAGTTGCAGGACTTGGGGATGCTTAGCCTAAAGGAAAGTCTGCATTTGGGAGAGGGTTGGGCATGGAGCTCGCTTCATTTCTTTGATGGGTTGCTAAGTGAAAGAAGAATTTGCCTATAACTCAAGTAAAGAGAATCTATTTCAAATTCATTTATAAAATGTTTATAAAAATGTATTTCTTGAGAAGGAGAAATCACCAAAAAATAAAAATAAAGTTCATGGCAGACACTGGTGCCCTATAGAGAGACATGTCAGTTATCTTCACGTATAGAATAACTAAGCCTATGGAAGCTGATAAACTTGCCTCGAGATAGCAAGAAGAGAAAAGATTATAGATACCAGGACAGTGCCTTGGCTAATACCTATGATCAGGTAGTAGAACAAAAATGGTAGCTTATCATATATCACTCCTCTTCAACTAGGCGGTGCCAGAGTACACAGAGCCTGAAGTCAGGAAGACTAGACTGAGTGCAAATCTGGCCTCAAACACCTACTAGAAGTGTGAATGTACGCAAATCAAGCTCTGCCTGCCTCAGTTTCCCTATCCATAAGCAGTAAACTGGAGATCATTATAGTACCTACCTCATAGGATAGGTACATCTTACAGATGAGAAAACTAAGGCAAATAGAGATTAAGTCACTTGCCCAGGGATCACACAGCTAGTATCTGAGCCAGATTTGAACTTGGGTCTTTCCAACTCAAGCCTGGAGCTCTATTCACTGAACCACCTAGGTAGCCCACTTGAGAACTGAGTGGATGACGGAGTAGAATGGGGAAAGACTCATGGCTAACATTTATATGCTACTTTAAGGCTTGCAAAGTGCTTTACAAATGTTTTCATCTGATCTTCACAGCAACCTTCAGAGGTAGGTGCTATTATTATCCCCATTTTACAGATGAGGAAACTGAAGCAGACAAAGGTTGAGTGATATTTCCAGAGACTCAGTATCTGAAGCAGGATTTAAACCCACATTGTCTAGATTTCACATCTAGCACTCCATCTACGGTGCCTTCTTTTACTGACCAACCAGCAAGCCATTGCAATAGCCAGTAATGTGAGGCTATGTGTGCTTGTGCCAGGATGGTGACAATATCAAAGAAAAGAAGGGGGTACACATGAGTGATGTTATGAGGGAAACATCAACAGGCCTTGGCAGAAGATTGGATATGGATGTGAGAGAGGGTGAAGAGTTCAGGAAGATTCCCAGGTAGAGAACCTAGGTGACTTGAAGGATGGTGGCATCCTCAGAAGTAAAAGGCAAATTAAGAAGAGGTGGTATTATTTTGGATAGGTTGAATCTAAGATATCAAAGGGTCATTTGCTCTGAGATCTCTATCAGGCATTTGGAGATAAGAGACTGGAAGTCAAAAGAGAGGTCAGGGCTGGCTAAATAGATTTGAGAACCATCAGCTTAGAGATGATCATTGAATTTATGGGATCTGAGGAGATCAACAAATGAAATAGTCCAGGGAGAAAAGAGAAGAGGACTCCGGACAGGAGTGGATGCCTATTTCTGGCCAAGTCATTTAAACATTCAGGGTCTCTGTTTGTTCTCTATGGTTATAATCTGCAGATCAGGCCCAAATCTGCTTTTACATCCAGAGAGTTTCCTATAGCAATGAAATCACAGATCTAGTCCAAAAATTGTACAACCGTGTGACAGGCTCTGTAGGGGCCTTACTTTAGAAATAGAGCTGTTAATTCTGTATTCCCAACCCACCCCACTCCCAAATCCATTAAGAAGCGGTCAAGACATTCTATGGCCTTGTATGCATACATTACTTAGTGACTGTGAAAAAAATAAATTGAATACTGGTATGAGAAGAGAATAATTGTGAGTGTGATTGTGTGAATGTTGAGTGTGGACAGTAGGAGTGGTTTGAAGGTGCATGGGGGAGTGGATGGGTGAGTCTGGATCTTGGTCCCTGCGGAATTGGCTTGTTTACCGAGAGAGTGAACTTTGATTTAGGATATATGGAGGGGGTGGAGAATTGGGGTGGGGCAAACGTGGAGTTCCCAGTGAGATTGTGTGCTCACCCGGTTTTAGTGCCCTCTTCACAAGGGGACAATGATAAAAGATTCCTGAAAGACGTGGCCTATCTGAATGGTACAACTCTGAGTCTGCATTTAAATGTGATAATATAGGGGGTGAGTACTCAAAAGAACTTGAAATGATGGAGATCAGGATAAATGGGCATGCCCCAACAACACTGTACATACTATAACCAACTGCAGCTAGTTGGTACAAACTTTGTAAGTTCTCAACTATGTTCATTACTCTTGGGTTTTTGAGTTATTCATTGCCAAAGATTTTCAGGAGTTATTTTCAGGTTCTGGAAGACAGGGAGTTCTGAAAGTCCAAATGGTAGGTAGCCAAGCTTTTGTTTTTTTGTTTTTTTTTTTACAATTTATATTGCTTTCTGTATTTTGCATGTTAATTTTCTAGCACTAGTGATCACAAGTCCTAGATTTATAGAATCATAGATCATCGTGCTGGAAGATACTTTGAAGATATTTCTTCTAACTCCCTCACTTAATAAATGAAGACATGAGGCAAAAAAACAAGTTTAACATACTTGGTGTGTGTCAATGGGCAAGTCTCATACCCCAAACCATAAGTGAGACCTACTTAAGCATCCTTATCAACAAATTGTAATAAAATAATTCTTAGAGCCAAAGGGACCTCAGAGGCCATCTACTCCAAATTCTTCATTTTACAGATGAGGAAACTGAGGCAAACAGGGTTAAGTTACTTGCCCAGGATCAAATAGCTAGTATGTGTCTGAGCCCAAATTTGAACTCGGGAAGATGAGTCTTCCTGACTACAGACTTGGCACTCTATACACTACACCACTTTACACAAGTATTACATGTTAGAGGCACAATTTGAAGGAAAATTTGGGTTTAAATATTGCTTCAAAATTTGCTATGCATTTTTTCTGTACCTCAGTTTCCTCATTTGTGAAAAGAGGTGGTTAGATTTAATGACTTCTAAGATCCATTCTAGCTCTAAATCTATGATTTCCTAAGCAGCTTGGGAAATAATTTCATTTCTAGGTACCTAGGTGCCTTTGCAAGGATGTGGTAATTGACAACCAGAAGAAAAGAGAGATTTGCAGAAAAGTCAGAAAGCAACACATTCCAACTGGAAAAAATGCACATTTGAAGAGAATCTGGGTCCTATGTAGACATGCTTTCTAACTCCTTTATGGATGACAAGGGATGATTCTGAGAGAGAAATCCACGGTTCATCACTGGCTGTTTTAATAGCCTGATGTGCCCTAGAAAGTTTCTGTCAAGATAAGACCATTATAGAAGAGACAGACACCCAAGTAACAAACTGCCACTATTTCCCAGCCAGGATATCCATTTTTAGAGAATAAAAGAAAACAAAACAAAACAGAAGGATGTTGGTTCCTACTGCTTGAGACTGTGGTATATTCACATTAAATTCTTCCAAAATCTTGTATGGGAGGATGGATTGTAGTGGGGAGAGACTGGAATTAGGCAGACCTGCCATCAGGTTTTTGTTATAACCCAGGAGTGATACGATATGTGCCTACACCAGGGTGTTAGCAGTGTCAGAAGAGAGAAGAGGGCACATTCGAGAGATGTTGCAAAGGTGAAGTCAACAATCCTTGGCACCATATTGGATGTAGAAGGATGGCTCTTAGGTGATGGGCATTCATAGTTATAGGGAATTTTGGAGGTGGGGCAGAGGTTAGGGGGAAGGATAATGAGTTCAGTTTAAGATGTTTACTGGACATCCAGTTTGAGATATCTGAAAGGCTATTGGATATGTGAAATGAGAGGTCAGTAGGACAGTATAGGTAGATTTGCAAACTATCAGCAGAGAGATGGTAATTAAATTTAGGGTTAGGGTTGCCAGGAAATATGGAAATTTTTTTGGTGTTATTTGCTTGGTAAAAGTTAGACTGAATGACCTCTGAGATCCCTTCCAACTCTGAAACTCTATGGGCTTATGATTTTGTCTTTAGGCCCTTTGACCCAAATGAAGGTGTAGGTGCCAACAGAGCCACCTACATCTGAAATCACACAATAAAATCAAAGTCCCAGGTCAAAGTCTTTTGTTTTGTTTTCTTTTAAGTTTTTAAAAATTATTTTATTTTTAATTTGTGCATTCAAACAAGCATTTCTAAAACAGTATAATAAAAATAGGATTGCACATGAAACTGCAAATCTACTATGCACAACTTAATATTCCTTTCAAATATACAACAAAATTACCATCTAAATTTCTTTATTTTTCCTTTTTCTTCACTCCCTAACCCTCCCTAGAGGGATATATGTGTGTGTATGCATATATATATATATACATACATACATATATATGTAAAATTATTCTGTACATACTTTTATTTATCATTTCTTTCTCTGGATGCACGTAA